CCGACCAATCCAAGTACCGAACGTACGGCACCTCCGAGTTCAGCACATGTTCAGCTCAATGACGTCCTACGAACTCCGATCCAACAGAGCTTTGCGGGAGAGTTCCGTCAGCACACGACGTGATGACGGTGTTGATGATGCTACCGACGCAGGGCTTCGCCTAAGCACTGCTATGATATTACCGAGGTGGAATATGGTGGAGGGGGGCAACGCACATGGCTAAGAGATCAAGAGATCAATTGTTGTGTCTAGAGGTGCCCCTGCCCCCGTATATAAAGGAGGAAGGGAGAGGACGGCCCTAGAGGAGGGCACACCAAGTGTGAGGAGTCCTACTAGGACTCCCAAGTCCTAGTAGGATTACCCTTTCCTTTCCGGAGTAGGAGAGAAGGAAAGCGGGGGAGAGGGAGAAGGAAAAGGGGGCTGCACCCCTTGTCCAATTCGGACCAGAGGGGGGGGCCTCCTTCCTTTGGTCTCTCTCCTCTATTCCCGTATGGCCCAATAAGGCCCATATACTCCCCGGCAAATTCCCGTAACTCTTTCGGTACTCCGAAAAATACCCGAATCACTCAAAACCTTTCCGATGTCCGAATATAGTCGTCCAATACATCGATCTTTACGTCTCGACCATTTGGAGACTCCTCGTCATGTCCCCGATCTCATCCGGGACTCCGAACTACCTTCGGTACATCAAAACACATAACTCATAATATAAATTGTCACCGAACTTTAAGCGTGCGGACCCTACGGGTTCGAGAACTATGTAGACATGACCGAGACACATCTCCGGTCAATAACCAATAGCGGAACCTGGATTCTCATATTGGCTCCCACATATTCTACAAAGATCTTTATCGGTCAAACCGCATAACGACGTAGGCTGTTCCCTTTATCATTGGTATGTTACTTCCCCGAGATTTGATCGTCGGTATCTCAATACCTAGTTTAAACTCGTTACCGGCAAGTCTCTTTACTCGTTATGTAATGCATCATCCCGCAACTAACTCATTAGTCACATTGCTTGCAAGGCTTATGATGATGTGCATTACCGAGAGGGCCCAGAGATACCTCTCCGACAATCGGAGTGACAAATCCTAATCTCGAAATACGCCAACTCGACATGTACCTTCGGAGACACCTGTAGACCTCCTTTATAATCACCCAGTTACGTTGTGACGTTTGGTAGCACACAAAATGTTCCTCCGGTAAACGGGAGTTGCATAATCTCATAGTCATAGGAACATGTATAAGTCATGAAGAAAGCAATAGCAACATACTAAACGATCAAGTGCTAAGCTAACAGAATGGGGCAAGTCAATTACATCATTCTCTAATGATGTGATCCCATTAATAAAATGACAACTCATGTCTATGGCTAGGAAACTTAACCATCTTTGATTCAACGAGCTAGTCAAGTAGAGGCATACTAATGATATTATGTTTGTCTATGTATTCACACATGTACTAAGTTTTCGGTTAATACAATTCTAGCATGAATAATAAACATTTATCATGAAATAAGAAAATAAATAATAACCTTATTATTGCCTCTAGGGCATATTTCCTTCAAAACTTGCCATGGTAACTTAAGATATTCAAAAAACGACAACCTAAGATTGTTCAAAAACATGGCAAACTTGCCATGGCAACTATAATCAGTATTTTTATAGATGTGTTTTCTGCCATGGCAACTAAAGCATTTTTTGCCATGGTTCGTTGTGTCTTTCTTGCCATGTCCATCCGAAGAATGTTTTGCCATGACACTTACAAATTAGTGTAAGCTTCATATGTTTTGCAACTTTTTCGTAGTGTAAACTTCGTAGTGAATTAAACTTATTTAGTCACCTTCATTGAGATGGCAAATTCACCTTCATTGACATGGAAAATTTAGCTATATTGTCATGTCAAATTTTACCTTTTATTGCCATGGAAATTTTAATGTTCTCTTTATACTATTTTATTGCAATGGCAAATTTAGTTTTACTGCCATGGCAAAATTATCAATACTGGCATGGTAAATTTTGATTTATTTCCATGGCAAAATTATCTATACGGGCATGGCAAATTTAGTTTCTAGACCATGGCAAATTTCCTTTTTTTCAACATGGCAACATTTTCTTTAAATATTGGAGCATGGCAATTTTAGTTAATGGGCAAGGCAAAGTTTTTGCCATGGGAAGTTTTTACCTTTCATTGCCATGGAAAATTTACTTTCAGATACATGGCAATTGTTCTTTAACATACATGGTGAATTTTCTCTAATCTCTCATGGCAGGTTTTTTTAAAAAATTGGCCATGGAAAATTTACTTTGTAGATCATGGCAAGTTTGTGTTTATACATGGTCCATTTACTTTACCGACCCTGGCAAATTACTTTACATTCATGGCATTTTTCATTTTTCATTGTTCATGGATTTTTTCTTATTACACCATGGTAAAATTTACTTTATGAAACATGGAAATTTACCAGTAAACGATTCATGGTACACTTTTTTTGTGTGTTTCTACATTTTGGCAATTGTTAATCCACATATTTTTTGCCACCATGCACATAATGCAAAGCTGCTATGAATTTTTCTTTTGGTTCATTTGCAAGAAAACAACAACAAAAAATGACCCTAGCAATTTTTTCTTTTTTTCTTTTCAATTATGTTTTCTGCCATATTTTTTTACATGAAACAATGGCAACTTTTTAGATGAAACTAATATTTTTTTTCTCCTATGTGTTTTTAAGTTCTGGCATTTTTCCTAGTTCATAATTGTTATGGTCTACTCGTATCAACATGGCTAAAAGCATAATTTGTTAAGTTTTAAGTTTTGCATCCCAATTTTTGAAAAATGATGGCAGTTTAGAACGCACATTATGGCAATTTTCTTTCTTGTTTTGCCATTCAAAATCATGTTCGAAGTTCAGTTTTTTACTTCTTAATAGCAGCCAGTTAGAAACTTTTGGCTTTTTTTTTTGTTCCGCCATAAACAATGGCGTTGGTGAGATGAGAGACCCATTTAGGAAAGGCATGTGTGGCTAGTGTGGGTTACTGGGGGTTGTTACTGGGTTTGTTTTCGTATTTACAGGGGAAAAGCCCGTTGGGGCGTTGGGTGGGGGGCGTTCGGGCTGTGGGTATTTTCTATCGAACGGAATCGTTCGTTCGTCCTGAAAGAGCCTCATACCGAACCTTTGGTTCGGTCCGGGAGGTCTCCAGACCGAACGGTCGGTAGATATCGGCGTCCTTTTTTATAAGATCTGGATCCTTGTGAAATCCTACATCCTCCATATTCTAAGATTTTGGTGACATTTAATTAATTTGATTGAAGTATGAGCAGGTAAAGGCAAAGGAAGTTTGGTTTAATGTAGGACATGGTTGATTCGTTATAACGTTGGGAGAAAAAACTGGAAAGGAGGGGAGGCGGGATAAGGCCTTGTACAATGGGACTGCTTATGTACAGGTGTTTAAGGAGAGAGAGTTTGCTTGCTTCCTAGAAAAATAATGATACCTACAATGGGCAGTGCCTCATACTACTTGTGCTTAGGCTGGATTAGTACATGTGATTAAGGAGAGGGAATATGTTTTTTACCACCCAAAGACTGCAGCATCGGTGCCAAGCAGAAGCAAACTTGGGCTTCCGTTGCCTCTCTGAGAAAAAAAACCAGGTTTTTTTTCCCTGAAGCACCTGTGGAGGCACCTGCATTGTACATGGCCTAACCAACTCTCCTTGATGATAGAGATTATTCAATAAACTTACCGACTTGATAGATGTAATTGTCGCGGCCGGCCTCCTTCGGACATTCTGAGTGTAATATGGCCAGCTTGGAGTAGGGTGCGGGAGCGAACACATTGGAATTCCTGCAGGGGATCCAATGCTGCAGAGGGCGTTCACTGTGAGTCACGAAATTTCTGAAATTGATATAATTGCATTTGGGTAATTTTTTGCTGCATTGATGGTTATTGTGATCACTTCTCGATGTTAATCGTTTCACGTTTGTGACATCAATTACTTAATATAGTAGTTTTTTCTTGTTTTTAACCGATTTTAAGCAAACGTGTGACATAATTTTCGAACACGACATTTGCTGCATAGCCTTTTCTCAATAAAAAACAACACTAAATCATAGCTTGCTCTTCATTCTAACGTTACCATAGCATGCTCATCCGTAAGATGCCAACATGTGAAGCAAGTCGAGGTGGCATTCTTCTTCTTCCCGCGAAGTGTGGCATATCCTCGCAAAAGAATAGCAAAGACGATGGCTTGCTTTCAACTTGTCAACTCGATCGTCATTGACAAATCTGATACACTCATGTGATCCTTAATTCATGGGAACTTGAACAACTTTTATTCATTTATGAATTTGAACTGGGATAACCCCGACCTCAAAATGCTGGCCAGCCAGAAAACGTTCACAATTAAAATTTCTGTTCGCATCTGGGTAAAGCGATCGATGGATAACTCCTTCACACGGTCTATATAAACACTAGTACGCGGCATGAAGGGGAAGTAGCAGCAGCAAGTAGCAACTCCGGTCACGCCATGCAAGAGTTGATCCTCCTCCTGCTCCCCATGACGCTCCTCGTCGTCGTCATCGGCAGCCTGCTCCGGCGTGCACCGCCGATCAAGGAAATGCGAACCCGCCTTGCCGCCGTCATTCCGTCAAGTGGGGTCTCGTACGTGACTTCTCCGCTGCCTTGCGGCAGGAGGTCGTCGTCACAGACCGTGTCACCGCGCACCACCTCCTCGTCCGCGGCGCTACCGGGGGCGCGTTCTGCAACCGTCCCCCGACGAGCGCGGCCAGCTCCGTCCTCTCCCGCCAGCGCCACCACAACATAAGCTCTGCGCCCTACGGCTCGCTCTGGCGGGCCACCCGCCGCAACCTCGTCTCCGAGGTCTTCCACCCGTCGCGCCTTCGCCTCTACGCCCCCGCCCGCAGCCGCGCGCTCCGCGGTCTCGTCGCGGACCTCCGCGCACAGTGCACGTCTAACGACGGCGTGGCCCACGCGGCCGAGAGCATGCACGCTGCTATGTTCGGCCTGAACGCCACCATGTGCTTCGGCGATGCCGTGGACGCAGGCCTAGTCTGCGCCATGGCCGACAACATGGAGGAGCTCATCTGGTCCCTCGTTGGGGTGCGTGTCTTCGCAGCACTCCCGGCGTTGACCAGCTTAATCTACCGCGAACGGTGGAACAAGCTGCTCGCGCTCAGGCGGCAGCAGGAGGAGCTGTACCTCCCGCTCATCAATGCGCGACGCGGCCGGCGGCGTCGACCGTCCGGCGAAGCCCCAGCATATGTGGACACACTCATCGACCTCCTGGTCGCAGACGAAAGCTACTCCGCCTACGGTAGGAATGCTCCCAGTCGCAAGCAAACGCTAACGGACGGTGAGCTCGTGGGGCTCTGCTCCGAGTTTCTTGGCGCCGGCACGGAGCCCCCGACCGCGGAGCTGCAGTGGATCATGGCGAACTTGGTGAAGCATCTAAACGTCCAGGAGAACGTCCGGAGAGAGATCGAGGCTGTCGTTGGGGTGGACGCGAAGGAGGTCGGCGAGGAAGACCTTGGTAGGCTGGAGTACCTCAATGCTGTCCTCATGGAGGCGCTCCGTCTGCACCCCAGCGTGCCCACTGTGGTTAGGCAGGTGAGCAAGTAACTACTTTCCAGTTCTAAAAAACCTTTTCTCTTATTAATTTCTCGTTTAGATATGGAACATTCCTTCAATACAATGAAAAAAGTAAATCAAAAATAGTTTCTGTATAATGATGAAATTAAAACGGATACATAAAATGCTTGGATTTTTGAAAAATTTCTAGAATGAAGTCTTTATGCTCTTATAATAGTATGATTTACTAACCTTATGATTTTGCATAACATACTCCTGTTGCAAGCATACTCCACTTTTCATCATTTTCATAAATGGAATCCTCATATTTTAAGTTTGGCAATAGGTTAATTATTAAAGTTAGTCAGTCAAGGTCACACATACTTAATATTTTCTTGCTTGCAAGGTGATGCCTGAGGACCACGTCGTTTTGGATGGCCAGCGCGTCACGGCGGGGACGATCGTGCAGTTCCAGTTGGAGCGTCTGGGGCGGGACAAGACGTCGTGGGCTGACCCAGATGAGTTTCAGCCGGAGCGGTTCCTGGCTAGCGGCGGGGGCAACGGCGTGAGCCTTGTGGCGGCTGCAGGAAGCGCCGGAGAAATTAGGATGATGCCGTTTGGTGCGGGCAGGAGGATGTGCCCTGGCATGGGTGTCGCGATGCTTCACCTGGGGTACTTCGTTGCAAACCTCGTGAGGGAGTTTGAGTGGACGGAGGTGGAAGGCGACATGGCTGTCGACCTCGAGCCACATGTCGAGTTCTTGAACTTCATGAAACGGCCACTGCGTGCTAAGCTCACGCCACATAATAAGGGGGTTGGAACTTCAGGAGCCTTTTCAGACCGATGAATAGCCATGGAGACAAGTCCTAAGAAACATCAATGATAAGTCTGATCAAAAGTTTATAATGCATACAAACATGTGGGGTTTTCTGCCTTCCATCATCTAAGTGTACTATCTAAATTGTACTATCTAAGTTTATTGCTTGACTTGTATGATCAAAAGTATATACTATATTGTGTGAGATCATATTAGTCTACCGCACAAAGGATCATTTATTCCCTGACTGTATTGTACATGTAGGGGGGAAATTGAACATGTCTAGGTGGTGCACACACTCTGGCTAGAACTACAGGGCGCCCCCCTTCCCGACAACCCTCCTTTACCTAAATTGAAAGGGTGTTGGTCCCCTCCTCGTTGGCCCCCTTTCCCTTCTTAGTTTTTGGCGCGAAGCATAGGCACCAGGCACCAGCAGAGTCTTGGTGTAAATTCCCAACACCAAAAATCCAACCTAGGCATGGGATCCAAAACCCCATACACCCCCTCCCTATCTCCTCCCTAATACCTAACAGTCAACATGAAAGGCTCCCATGGTGGTACGCACCTAGTTCTTGAGACCGAAAATAGATCCGACTTTGCTATTTATCATGTATCTTGAATTTTAGTCCATTATGTTGAAGTCGAAGATGGGGCTGCATAATGAGCGGCAGTGAGGAGCGCTGACCTTTGCCGAGGCCGAGCCAAGACCTTGCTGGAGACGAGGACTACGCTATGAGCTACAGTGTCCCAAGGTGGGAGGGGGAGGGGTCTGTTCGTCAGAGAAGAAATAGAGGTGAGTTACAATGGTTGGTGGCTTGGGCATATCGTGGGTCGTGTCGCCGAGCGGAAGAAGAATAAACACTACTGGAATCAGGATCTTTGCCGTCAGCCGCCTCTTTGCCGTCTGCTAGCTGATGGCAAAGAAGGTATTTGCCATCAGCTTAGGGTGTGTTTGGTAGGGTGCATGAAGGGTGCATGAGAGTAAAAGTTCCCTTCTTGACCCACTTTTGTGTGTTTGGTAGAGTGTATGAAGGGTGCATGAGTCCACACTCACTACAAAAAAATACACTTCCGTGATGATACGTGTTTGTCACAGTAGGTCACGTTTTCTGTCATGCATGTATATCCATGACGATTTTATGACAGAATCAAGATAGTCATACCTGTGATGTCGTAGAAGTGTTCCATGACATTACCAAAATTATCATCACGGAAGTATCCACTTCCATGATGATAAATCGCGCATCACAGAATTGCTTTCGTCAAGGGTGACCGACACGTGGAATCCACCATAACGGAACGCCGTTAAGCTATCGGGTCCGGTTTTGAATCCGATAACCCGTTAACAGCCGGACCAATGGGAAATTTCCATGTATAAAATTCTGATTGGCCGGAGGAAACACGTGTCAACTCGTTAGTGGGCTAGATGCCGCCCATCCATTGGAGGAGACATGCCTATGATACGTCGACACGTGGTGAGGCCCAACAAAGGCCCATATAGGTTAAAAAGGCCGGCCCGGTCAAAGGCTCATAGTACTTACTCACGTACTAGTGGGCCAGCCCAATAACGGCCTGTTTAATAAAGGCCCATTTACGGCCCAAAGCCAGATCTGGCCCATTAATTGTTCGCTGAATATTTGGGCCCAATTACAGCCCGGTAGACATGGGCCCATTTCAGCCCGGTGTGACTTTCGGCCTAGGAATGGCCCATGCTGCCCATGGGCCATATATGGTCTGACGGGACATTGGGTCCACTAACGGCCTGTGGTAAAGGTGGCAACAGTTCAGCCCAATGTGACTTTGGGCCTGTTAAAGGCATGTCGGATAATTCGGCTCGTTGATGTCTGTACTAAGCTTTCGGCCTCTTAAAGGCCCATGATATCAGTGGGTCAACTAAGGCCCGAGATATGTTTCGGCCTCGTAACAGCCCATCATATAACTGGGCCCAAAAAGGCCCAGTCTACATTTCAGCCTACTGAAGGCCTGTCGACGACTAGTGAAAATTGAGTCCCAACATGCATTTCGGCCTGCTAAAGGCCCATGGTTTCATCTGGGCCATAACAGGCCAGTAGAATATTCAGCCTGTTAATGGCCCCGGCGCTACCTGTGCTAAACTAAGCGTTGGGTCCATAAAAGGCCCAACTAAAATATAGGACGGAGTAAGTTGCGGGCCTAGCGCAAAATGTGAAGGCCCCAATCATTCGGTCCCAAGAAAGATGCGGGCCGGTCCAATTGTGGCCCGCTAAAAACCAGGCCCGTTAGAGGCGAATGTTTCGGCCCGGTCGACTACATCAGATTTTTTTTCAAATAGCAAATGATGGCAGCAACTAGTTGGAATTAAGAACAAACCTACTCTATACAATAAAGAAATTACGGCATAGTAACTAAGAATAAACCTACACTATATAATAAAGGATTTATGGTGTATTACATCCACTGGGCATCGAGTTCGCCAACAGTGATCATAAAGCGCAACGAATAAGCAGATTACAAAAACTGGGCACCATTGCAGCGTAACAAAATAATACTGAACCGAGACCGGCCACTTCCAAGACAGTTCAAGAAAGGTTAGCCTTGCGCGGGAACTGCTGCGCAAGCTGCTGAGCAAGGCTGTGAGACCAGCCTAGCATTCGGTCATAGCTTCCAGGTGTAGCTATTTAGCAATGAGGTTCTCATTGGTGTTCTCCGCAATATTTCTTAGAGATAGGACTTCAAGTCGAAATTGAGTTGCAGAATGCCTTTCTGCTAGAACTTGGGACTGAAGAAGTCGAACTGATTTAGACAACGAATTATGTGAGCTTGTCTGACTGCTAGTCTCAAGTAACTTGAACACTGCATCAAGACAAGACTTTGGGGTTGTCTCGCTATCTTCAAGATGTTTTGCCTTCTTTGCTGCAATATATGTTGGTTTGTCTCACATCCTTCAGCGGACTTATGCACGCCATCAGGCATATCACCCTGAAACAAGCAGAGAGATGATAGGTTTTGCACGTGTATAAACAAAGATGATAACTGTGTTGTCAATTCCGTTCAATTTCAAATTAGAAAATAAAGAGTAAGTTCAAAATATCAGTGATACATCTCCAACGTATCTATAATTTTTGATTGATCCATGCTACTTTATCTACTGTTTTGGATTATATTGGGCTTTATTTTCCACTTTTATATTACTTTTGGGACTAACCTATTAACTGGAGGCCCAGCCCAAAATTGCTGTTTTTTACCTATTTCAGTGTTTCAAACAAACGGAATATCAAACGGAATGAAACCTTCGGGAACATGATTTTCTCGCCGAACGGGATCCAGGAGACTTGGACCCTACTCCAAGAAGTAACCGAGGAGGTCACGAGGGTGGGGGGCGCCCCCCCCCCCTAGGGCGCGCCCCCCTACCTCGTGGGCCCCATGTTGCTCCACCGACGTACTCCTTCCTCCTATATATACCTACGTACCCCCGACAGATCAGATACGGAGCCAAAAACCAAATTCCACCGGCGCAACTTTCTGTATCCACGAGATCCCATCTTGCGGCCTGTTCCGGAGCTCCGCTGGAGGGGGCATCTACCACGGTGGGCTTCTACATCAACACCATAGCCTCTCCGATGAAGTGTGAGTAGTTTACTTCAGACCTTCGGGTCCATAGCTAGTGGCTAGATGGCTTCTTCTCTCTTTTTGGATCTGAATACAATGTTCTCCCCCTCTCTTGTGGAGATATATTCGATGTAATCTTCTTTTTGCGGTGTGTTTTGTTGAGAACGATGAATTATGGGTTTATGATCCAGAATATCTATGAATAATATTTGAATCTTCTCTGAATTCTTTTATGTATGATTGAGTTATCTTTGCAAGTCTCTTCGAATTATCCATTTGGTTTGGCCAACTAGATTGGTAGTTCTTGCAATGGGAGAAGTGTTTAGCTTTGGGTTCAATCTTGCGGTGTCCTTTCCCAGTGACAGCAGGGGCAGCAAGGCACGTATTGTATTGTTGCCATCGAGGATAACAAGATGGGGTTTTTATCATATTGCATGAATTTATCCCTCTACATCATGCCATCTTGCTTAAGGCGTTACTCTGTTTTTAACTTAATACTCTAGATGCATGCTGGATAGCGGTCGATGAGTGGAGTAATAGTAGTAGATGCAGAATCGTTTCAATCTACTTGTCTCGGACATGATGCCTATATACATGATCATACCTAGATATACTCATAATTATGCTCAATTTTGTCAATTGCTCAACAGTAATTTGTTCACCCACTATAGAATACTTATGCTCTTGAGAGAAGCCACTAGTGAAACCTATGGCCCCTGGGTCTATTCTCATCATATCAATCTCTATCACTTTATTATTTGCTTTGCTTTTACTTTGCCTTTTACTTTTCACTTTGCATCTCTATATCAAAAATACCAAAAATATTATTTATCATCTCTATCAGATCTCACCCTCGTAAGTGACCGTGAAGGGATTGACAACCCCTAATCGCGTTGGTTGCGAGTAGCTATCGTTTTGTTTAGGTACGAGGGACTTGTGTGTGGTCTCCTACTGGATTGATACCTTGGTTCTCAAAAACTGAGGGAAATACTAACGCTACTTTACTGCATCATCCTCTCCTCTTCGGGGAAAACCAACGCAGTGCTCAAGAGGTAGCAAGAAGAATTTCTGGTGCCGTTGCCGGGGAGGCTCACGCAAGCAAGTCAACCATACCAAGTACCCATCACAATCCCTATCTGTCGCATTACATTATTTACCTCTCATTTTCCTCTCCCCCACTTCACCCTTGCTGTTTTATTCGCCCTCTCTTTCCCAATCTCCTCCTCTCTTTCCCATTTTCCTTTTTCCTTTGCCTTTTTGTTTGCTCGTGTGTTAGTTTGCTTGCTTGTCGTTATGTCTAATCCCTTATCCACTCCTATGTCTCCCGAGTTTGAAGTTCTTCACTTCAAGCAAAGGCAAGGAGAAAATTTAAAAGATGCTTGGTATAGGATGATGGAATCTTATCGTAAGTGCACCCTAGAGGTGAACTATAGAATTCTTCT